AAAAAAAAAAAAAAGCCATTTGGGAGTAGCTCTTAGATTATAGCAGGACATAAACAGAATGTAAAGGGCAAAATGGGCAGAATAAGAAGAAAAGAGGTAAAAAATGAAGATTTTTTTTCCTTCAACATACATATGTAGTAGCAGTACCTGAAGCTGAAATCTGAAACAGATTTGGGAACATGTTGATATTATTTTATATGGTAGCAGTACTTATATGTGTGTGTTACAAGAAGGGTCGTTGTTAAACAAGATTACGGTGCGATCCCATCATTATATTTCTACCGCTTTGTTATACTCTCTCTCTCTAAAACATTTTGGTTTCTCTCTCTAAATTCTTGGCCTGAGAGTCTTCAGAGAGCCGCAATGACTGGTGGATTGTCTGGTCTGGCAATAAAAACCTCTCCCGATAAAGATTACAACAGAAAATTAATTATAAATAAGTGAAAATTTACTTTTCTGCGTGCGATGCGAGTAATATTGATAGCAACTTACAATTTTTAATTAATTTATTGTTGAGAGAGAAATGAAAAGGTAAAGACCGACCTCCACTCTCTGTATAGAAATGTTTTTTTTTTTTTTTTGTACTTTAGTCCTGGAACTTTTTTCCAATATAAATTTGACCACAATTGATTTTGGCATTTTCTCAAAAATTAAATCTATGAATGTTACATTTGTATGATAGCAAGAAAAGGTAAGGGTTTTGAAGTTAAATGAAGTTGTTTATTTGACCTCAATAAATTGTTAATTTCTTCACATTTTTAAAGCTCGTAATTTGATGTTGTCTGAAGATACTAGTTGAATTAAATTGAGAAGTTGTTACAAGTGTTTTTAACGAGAAAAAGTCGGCGCTGTAAGACAATGTTTTTGATGGATCAAACTTGAGACATTTGAATTGAGCTTCCTATTGGTTGCTTAGTGATACCTATTTTTTAAAATAATTTTATAAATGAGTTATGCATAAAATTCTTATTTGTTATTTTGTTAATGTGAGTTATTGCTTTTTTTTTTTTTTAGTTCAACAAAACAGATTCAATCTTGTGAAAAGTGTGAATGCGATTCAATAGTCCTCTAGATATTGACCTCGTAGATACAATGTGGTTTAGCCCAGTTTGATGTCCATTAAAATGGGTTTTGAAATATTGATTTTTTTGGAGAATGTGTGGTTAAAAAGTAAAAAAATAATAAAAAATTGTGGTTACGTGCAAAATATTTTATTGTGAGCATGTTGGTTGAAAATGAGTTTTACAAAAAAAAAAAGAGTTTTTGAAGAATGGTAGACAAATAGATATGAGAGTTTGCTCTAGCTTTCATTGAGTAAAATTTAAATTTAAAAGTTACAAAAATGTATTTTGCATATAAAAACATTAAATAATTTCCTCAATTCATAAATTAAAACAAGAATTTTACTATCCACAAACTTTTGAAATTCATGAAAACAAGCTATTATGAGGTGATCGTGATAGGTAAGATGTTCAATTTTTTGAAAATCGAGCTACAAATTTTGTTAGTTGTATATCAAAAAGATGTACCTAAGGGATTACACTCCCCTCACATAGGGTGAGACCCATTTGTATAAAATTATTTTTTAATTAAGTGGGTCTCATCCCCGTGTGAGGTGTCTAACCCCTTAGGTACATCCGTAGGTATCACTAGCGAAACCCATCAAGCTACTCAAATCGTTGTGGAGGGTGAAGTGATGTTGGGGTGTACATGCTTATAATTTTTTATTTGCTCGTGTGAAAAATGGAGCATGGCATTCACAAATCTATTATTAAATTGTTAAGAAATTATAATGTGTTACTTGACTATGTTAATTATACAATAAAATATCGTATCACTTTACAAGGAACTCTATATTTAGAATATTGCATGCACTACGTCTCCATTTTGGCCTTTACCAATGCTAACAATATGGATATAGAAAATATGTTATTTGGCAACTCTAGCCATGAAAATGCAACATCTTGTCGTCCGATACATAACTTTTTATATTCATCAACTACATCAATTTAACATTTGACTTTATCGTATATGATACTAATTGTGACGTTTTTACAAAATATTATTATTGATCATTGCACGTGTCATTTTATAGTAGACTGATAATCACACACGGATCAGTCCTCTTATGTAAAATAACTAAACACGAGATAATCAATTAAAAGTGAAATAGATTGATGAAAAAATTCAGCAATGTGTGAAAATATTTTCATGTTTGTAACAATTTGTTGTCCATGCTTTTAACTTTCTAAATTTTGTGTTTGAAAAATTATTACTCACTCACTCATAATTTGTATATAAATTAAATGTTGGATGAACGAAGCGTGCAAAGAAAAATCTCGTCAAATTTTATTAAAAAATTGATTTTAATCCTCACCAAACATGGACCTAACGTAAAATCTTATGAGTATGAGTGCATATTATGAAAACGAGTTCAACTCTCAAGTGGCTTACCATTACATTTTTTTATTTTATTAAATATTTTACTATTTACAGCAAATTAATCGTATACACATATCGCCTATATTATACTCACAATATTTGCCCATATGCATCTCTATTAGTCGACTCGTGAGTCGGGTTTTTCTTTTCTTTTCTTTCTTTTTGTTGATCTATGAATGCATAGAGCGTTATCGTGATGCATATTATTGTTAACTATACAACAAAACATGGAATTACTTTATTAGGAACTCTATTTAGAATATTGCATGTACAATTTAGCCTTTCACCAATGCTAATAATATAAATATACAAATGTATTTTTTTCTTTTATACCCAAGTGTCCCAATTTTGTCAGATTAAATCCTGGACCTCCAAAACCCTTGCCCCTAGAACCTTGGAGGAGGTAAATCGCGGAATATACCTCAACTGGTTCCCAGATTCCCCTCACCAACTGTGCACTTCTGCGTACAAGTGTTCATCCTCCAAAGTGATTACTCCATACCAATAAATGTATTATTTGGCAACTCTAGCTGTTAAACTATATTTATTAGATGCAACATTTGTCATATTTACATATTTTCTACATTTTCGAATACGATAAAGAACGATATAAAGTAATACAAATTGTGCATCTTTTACAAATTGAAACATGCTAGGTTTATAAACTTTATTAACTAAAATTAACTTAACATTTGGCTTTATCGTATATGACCAAATAGTACCATTGATCATTGTACATGTTACTTTATAGTCGATCAATGATCACACGTAGATCAATCCTCACGTGTAAAATGACTAAACATGAAATCTAGATTGATGAAAAAAAAATCAACAATTATTTTCACACAAACTTGTTTTTAAATTAATTCATAATACGTTCTTTTGATTTTTTGGAATTTTTATGAAATTAAGTATCTATTAATTATTTGTGAAAATAAATATTACCCCAAAGTAATAAATATGCAATTTATATATCTATTTGTTGTGAGAGTTTATATTCAATCAGAAAATAATAATATTAGTTGATAATAACAAATAAAGTATGCGAAAGAGCTTTTTCATGGCAATAATTCGATAATAACTTTACAATCACATAAATAACATGGAGCGATTATTTAACGCGAACATGCTAGAAAATGAGTTCAACTCGAGTAGCTTAGTACTTAAAGATTT